TTCCCTTTGTAAAAGCAAGTATTTTAAGTAAAATTTTAAAAAGATAAAAAAAGGAAAACTTTAACTGTAAAATAATATGAATAATTAATTTTATATAAATAACATTAACATAATTAATTAGGATGTCTCATGTTTAAAGGCTTCAAATCTTTTAACGGTAACATGTTAAAGAATAAATGAAATTATTGAAAAAGTGAACTGAGTAGCATTATAGAGGACAACTACACAAATTAGAAACAATATCTATAAGAATACTTCCATATAATTTTCATTTGGTGATTGTCTGAAGCTTTGTCTAAACTATGCAATTACAAATTACAGTTTACCATGGCTACATAATTGATAGGTTCTCCAACATGTAACGTCCCTTTCATTTTTGAAGTAGTCATCATGTTGGCACATCTCCAAGAAATGTAGGGCACACGTCTGAGTTTCTCTGTAGTCTCTAAAACTATCATGTCATCTCTTATGACCCGTGTCTGTTTGTCTCCTACACATGAACACATCAAAGGGCTCGTCCACTTCTAACTTTTGCGCCAAATATTATCCACAAAACCTGAGTCGTCTATATGTATATATTATTAGCCACTTATATTCACAAGCAACACAACTCAACTTCTCTCGAAAGAATCAAAGTTTGTGCATTCCTTCTTCTACATCAGTTTTCTGTCAACTGAAACAACACAATGGGTTTCCGTTTACCTGTTATTAAACGAGCATCTAAGGGGGCTGAAATCCCACCAAAAGGTTTTCTTGCAGTCTATGTTGGAGATAACATGAGGCGGTTTCTGATTCCTATATCATACTTGAACCAACCTACTTTTCAGGATTTACTGAGTCAATCAGAAGAAGAATTTGGATATTCTCATCCAACGGGTGGTCTCACAATTCCTTGTAAGGAGGATGTGTTCCTGAATGTCACTTCTCGCTTGAATGGGCTATAACTCATGCTAGAGAAGACTTACCAGAGTAGATTAGGAAAAAAAAATTGTACAGGGGGAAATTTCTTTTAATTTTTCATTTTTGTTCTTTACCTTTTCCACAAGGAGCGGAAAGATGTTAACCAGAAAGTAATGAAAAGAGATTTATTCAACATTTTAACTTTTGTTATATCTTTTTTGAATTCTATTATTTGAGTTATTGATGTATAATCTAATAAACTGTCATAATTGCAGAACTATTGTATTAATTACCTATATATGTTCATGAGCAAAACTTGGAACATCGACATATATCTTTCCTGAACCTGCTATTTGCTAGATTCTTCTAAATTATTTGGTTCACCCGATTCCTGGATTTTTCTTGGTACAATAGATCAAATATCTTCCTAATCTAGTGGTTCTACCCATTCTACATACACCTTAAAATCAATCTCAATTTCAAAGGTCATTGCTTTGCATTGTCCCAATCAATCAGCATTATCACATGACCTGTTTGTTGCTTCTGGGACAAACTGTAGTGGTGATCCTCTGTAAAGTAATTTACAGTTCACAACATTGATAAATGAAAAGTAGAAAAATCCTGATCCAAATAAATTGAATATAGCAGCAACTGATTTTTCATCCACGGCTTGTTTCCTTCTTTCCTATCCATGTCCCGTCCATCAATATCTCTTTTCACCTACTTATTTGAACCTTTATTAACTGTATGATTAATTTAAAAATATTATTTACCTCATGTTAGCTTACTATCATTAACAGAAGTTACAGTACACATAACCTTTCGTGTTCTCCATTAACTTATTCATTAAATATTTCCTAGGAAGACCCTAAAGCTAGTTTGGTACCGCTCATGAATTAGAGTTCGACTAATTATTCTGTCATCTTCAAAGAAAATCTTAAGACAATATACTCAGAACAACATTAATAGCTTGATCATTAGTCGTTATGACCTGTATATTTTATACCTGCAAGATCAGAGCAGAATTGTACACTATCGCTAATTTTAAATATTGAATCATTGACTAGATTACTCATCACTAGTTTTGCGTAATTGCAGTTTTTTCAAGACAGTCCAGCAGGAAGCCCTTCCATTGTCAACCAAGAGGATTATATCATAACAAGTGATACATTCATGAGCCAGCAAAAGTAAATGCAAAATATTTTTTGAATTTATGAAATTGTAAAAATGGATAGTTTGAGTTTTTTCTTCTATATAGTTAACTACTTGAAATTACTAACTTCAAATAAATACATCCAAATTTTTAAAATTTAACGTCCCGTTAACTGAATAAACTATATTTAATTTCTTTTAATTTAAGAATTTGTACCATGAATTTAAATGTTGATATAACCTATTATATATTATTTTAAGATATATTAACCACTCTGGCACGTGTTTGTACATTGGTGATTAGTCAATGGTGAAGCTATGTGGCGAGACAATAACACTTTGAGAATACTACGACAAATCTAATAGAAAAATGAAAAAAAAAAGTCAGGATAATGCCATTAGAAAAGTTGTCTCCAATCACAATCATGTAACAGCTTCAAAGTAAATTTCATCTTTTATAGGTGGAATTTCAAGTACCAACAACTATCAGTTTCCCTATGAAAGAACAAAAGATTTGATATGTTTTAGAGTTGTCTGAAACAAGTGAAGCAGTAGGTCATCACCGGATCCTTTGGTAGGCCTATATTCTAAATGGTGGGGCGTGTAATTGTGTGTCATTATGTAATCCTCCATTGAAAGCCTTCAAGACAATAAAATGTGATATTTAAGGAACTTGTCTCCCACCAAAGCGCATTTTTACCATCCAATAAGTTAGGGAAAAACTTTACACCCTCTATATATACCCTTCACTGGTTTCATAAGCAACATAAATCATTCTCGTACTGAAGCATTAGAACTAAAGGTGACTGCTTCAATCTACTACATAGAAATCATTTTTTCCATCAGCAGGTGAAGCAATCATTAAAACAATGGGTTTTCGCTTACCGGATATTAGACAATAATCATTTAGTGAAAGCAAAGAATCTTCTTGCAAGGTGCTGGAAGTTCCAAGAGGCTATCTTGCAGTGTATATCGGAGAAAAATCGAAGCGGTTCTTGATTCCAGTGTCCTTCTTGAAGGAGCCTTTATTTCAAGAATTGCTGAGCCAAGCGGAAGAGGAATTCGATTAGTATCATCCTTTGGGTGATCTCACGATTCCCTGAAAGGAAGATATGTTCTTGGATATAGCTTCTCGCTTGAACAGATTATAGTTCACGCTACTAAAGATCCTAATCCTAACAACATAGTTGAGGCAATTTTGTACAACATCCTTTTGCTATCCTGTAAACTAATCTTTTAATACATGCAAGGACAAACCTAAACCTTGCGCCAATTTTAATATATTGCGTACTACAGTTATTCTTCAAGACTGGATCTTTTATAGTACATACTATTTTTTTCCCTTTGCCATTCCAGAGTGGATAGTGGAGGTGTCAATGATATAGTTAATAAAAGAGATTATTACAACATTAATTTTTGTTATATCTCATTTAATTATTGAATTCTAAGTTAATCTGTATTAGCATCTGATTTAAGAGCATTAATTCTTCTATAATAATATGTGGTTCATGCGCAAAACTAACATATCAATCCTCAACCAACCTTAGCCTTTAGCCAGATTCTTCTATAATATGTGGTTAATCTTATTCCTGGTTTTCTAAGCCTTGGGGAACGAATATCTTTTTAATTTTGTGGCTCTTACCATTCTTTCTGCACCTAAAATTTAGCCTCCTTTCCTAAGTGTCATTGTTATATGCACTGTCCCAATCAATCAGAATCATCACATGGTTTGTTAGTTGTTTTTGGGGCCAACAAGTGACAGATAAGCCTCTACCAAAGTAATTTACTGGAAAAGTATTAATTGATTCTCATAATTGATCTGGACTTCAAAATTGAAGTTCTGAACTAAAAAAACAAAATCACCGATTGAGAAATAAAAATAACTTTTGTTAAAGATTGTTCAAGTTCGCTTGTTCTCCTTTAATATTTTGCCTAAAACACAAGACGCTGAAATCTAGTTTGTTCGTAAATTAAAGTTCTTTTAGCAAATTATTCTGACACGAAATGAAAATGATGAACACCCGAAGTTACAATTTTTGTATAATGTTTAGTGGAAAATGGAAGGGAAGTTGTTGCTAGACTTTTCTTGAAAAAACTAAAATCATGCAGCTTAAAAATAAATAACCAACTAAATTAACAATTCAAATTGTCGACAGATTATGTACTAATGAGCTCTGATCTTACAAATAAAATCTTTAGGTCAGTGACCAGTGATCAAACTCTTGATAAAGGTTCCATGGCACCTAATATTCTGATCCATTGTTATCAACTACCTTTTAATTTGTCGACACGAGGGTGTCAGCAATATATGCTAGGATTGAGTATCGTTGTCAATATGTCTATTGTCTAGAAAAAGATGTAGGTATTGAATTATGCACTAAATTTAACCAGAGCATATCCCATCTTATTTCACGTTGCTACTGTTAGCCTTTGGTGTTCAACTTCTTAAACCAATAGATAGAACTGACTTAGGAAACAATGAAGACTTACAATTTTATTGGGTACTCAACAAAATTAATCATGTATTGGGGACCTAAATTTTATTTAAGCCAAAATAATATAATTAAAATAGAATTTTTTGTTTGAAATTATATTCTGTTGTTCTTAGTACATGAATTAATCAGAACAAAACGACCATAAATGTTCCAAGAAGATTAACAGAATTATAACAAGAGATATTCTATGTGTTCACAACAATAATATTATGTTTCATTTTGAATTAATTTTTTTAATCTATACTTCTTTTTAATTGTAGTTTGAGTTGAAGAAATTAATCAATCAAAGCCAAATTGAACATTCAAGTTTAGAGGAAAGTCAAGAGGAAGAATAAAAAAGTACGTGCTTATTTGTGACTGAGCACAAATTACATTATGCATGAAAATATAATATAAGGCATGAACACTAGCTAATTCTGGAGCCACAGAAAAGAATGATTCTATATCCCTGATTTAAATTTAAATTTTGAAACATTCTCTCAATTTTCTTTCATTTTGACACCCACATTTTTCTATAATCATCATGCTTCCATGTACAACACTTTAATTGAATTAAAAAAAAATTCTTTGACATCTGATAAACTGACTTAATAGACACTCTTCAATAAGAAATTTAAAACCATAGGATCCAATAATACCAAATAAACAAATAAATAAAAGTAGCACATTGTTAAAAGAAAAGGCATACCGATTGGACAAGTTTTCCTGGGAGGATGTCAAAAACATCATCATCAATTGGTAATCCACCGGCATTGTCTTCATTCACAACCTCCTCATTCTTCACTGGGCTGTCAAATCTCAATGATCTTGAGCGAGTTGGCCGCCTAGCTAACTTGTTCAAAGAATTGGTTGGGTGGTCATCAGGACTCATAAGATATCTTTCGGGTGAACGCAAGGCAGGTGTGGCACTCATCAACCTAATTGGAGTAGAAACAAGTTTAGCGGGAGTTGACATGGCATCAATCCTCTCGAGAGAAGAAGCATCTTCGTTTTCTGTGTAGTCGACGGTTTTGCTTGGAGTAGAAGTGGGAGCTGGAGCACTGGATGATTCCAGAGAGGCACATATTCTTGAATAATTTTCACTGCTAGCTGCTTGTGAAGCCCACTCAGCTGGGGAGGGTTGTACTGAATCTACTTGAGAAATTTGCTGTACAGTATCTGCTAAATTTTGTTGAAGTTTCAAAGAAAATCTTGCTCTAAAGAATGGGGCAATGTGAGAAGCTGCTGCCAGACGCTCATTAGGCAATTCAATTGATGTCTCTACAGGTGCAGACATATTTGCATCTATGCTAGCAGACTCTACATTATTGACAATGTCATTATAGCGCATGCAGAGTGATAATTTTGTTGGGAGACGAGTTTCCGACGTGTCTAAAATATTGACATTCTTTGGGCGATTGAATGGCTCCGGTAAAGTTCCTTCTGGAATTTCATCACCCTACACATAAAAGTATATTTCAGACCAAATAAAATGCATAATAATTCTGATTGAGATATTACAAAGTAATTATTCTGATTGAGGTAGTAATTGCCCATTATTAAAAAATAATCTGGATTCACTCAAAAGAAATTATTCTGATTGAGATAAAAGTTGCTCATTGCAAAAATTAGACTGATTCATTGAAAAATATCCAAATTTATGAACCGTGATTTTCCCAACGGAGCACAGGACTTTTCCATTCGCATGTCATAGGATTGCACACCTATAGTAATTTTGCATGATAACCATCACAATCATGAACAAAACTAGACAGCCATAGAGTAATGCTCAGAGGAATAAAATCAAGGCAAAATTGAATCAGTAATACGAAATGCTTGACAGTAAATCTTATTAAACAGCTATTCTAGATGGAATTAATGTGACCCACCTCAGGATGAGATTCCCAAAATTCTCTAAGTCGTGCGTAAAACAACTTCCTCAATGACACTCTCCCACGTTGAGGAGGCATCTTCACATCAGACTCTACCGCCTCAGGAGCTAAAGAAATGTGAATATCCTGCTTCATACAACTGGTCCGTTCATCATGCACTAGAAACTTCTTCAGAACAATAGCATCAGGCAATATAAATTTCAACTGCGCTAGATGGCCGTGAGTAAACCTCATAAACAAAAAAGAAATACACAATTCCCTTATTGAACACTACTCCCGTAAAGATAGTGCAGGATGAGACCTAGATCAAAACATTTAAAGTATGACCTTCTTCCGGTGGGTGAGATAGCATTTGTTATTGATTTTAGAATACTCAAATTAGGTTAGTACACTCAGTAAGAGAATACCAAGTGATTATATAAGAAATTAGTATCTTCACATGTAATATTTTTTGGAGTGTATGGGTGGGATTGAGATCTGACCACGGAGTACAGAAACACAAAGCTTAATCTAGCATTTCATGTACAGATAAAAGATCAAACATTGCTATTGATTAAAAGAAAAAAAACCTAATCGATCGGTACCTGTCTGTTAAAGATTCAATTCTATGACTGATTTCCATAAAAGACGGCGTCTTCCCTTTCAGACGAAACATTGAAATTAAAGTGTCCAAGCGATCAAAGAACTGATCCAAAATTTCATATCTGCAAACAAACCATGAAACTCGCAACTATAATCAACATGTATATTTTTAAATTATCGGAATTTAAAAAAATTAAAATGTACACTTTTCGGGAAGCTTGTAGGGATCATCGTTAGTACTCTTGGATTTACTCGGAGAAGACCACTGTAAGATCTGCCTCCTCACACTCTTGCTTGGCGGCGGTGACGACGTCGTTTCACAATGTCGCTTCCGATTCTGCAAACCCTTGCCTACTTCTTTTATATCTGCGACGGAGAGCGCGACGCCGCAGGTGCGGTTCCGTTGCGACAGTTTCTCCGGCGTCTTGGAGCTGAACTGAACGGGGTTTGGCGATTGGACCTTGGAGCTTTGGAGATTGCGTTTCTTCATGGTGTTTGATGATTATTGATTTGTGACAGTGAAATGAAAAATTACAATGTACACAGGCTTTGTTTTCGCGGAAAAAGTGTTTTTATTGCGTACGCAACTTTGTTTCCCGCTAAAATGAGACGTTGCTTCCCGCCAAGATGAGACGTTTAAACAATTAACTATATTAATATTTTAATATCTTTTTCCATATTTTAAACTAAACTATTAATATTTACTGCTGTATATTGAAATAAAGTGGTAAATAGTTGTTTTATTTGGTGGCCAAAGTATTGTAGTTTCAAAAATTAAAGATCAGAGAAAGAATAAAATAACACTTTACCTTTTTAATACAGCCATATAAGAAGAATATTAATATCAAATATTGAGATGTGGATTTTTTTTTTATAATTTGGCATTAAATATGGAAATATTTAGGAATAAGAGATGGATATTATATTTATCATCTATAGTCTGGACTATCATGCTTAATTCTTATTCTTGCTTTTGGTTTTCTGGAATTTGTTTGTTTGGGTTCAGAATTAAAATTGTCATTTTTATGGTAAAATTATTAGGGTGTTGCTCCCTCCACCACCACACCTTTCTTCCTCCACTTCCCCTTTACTATTTTATCCTTAAATAAAATTTTATTTTTAGGGTTAATTTTTTTAATTTTACCCATTCACAACCTATTCCACTAATAACCTATTTTAGTTCCTCCTACATGAGTAAAATATTTTTCTTTTATTTTAACATTATTTTTTTTCATCTCTTTCTGTTGTCGCAGTGAGATACTACAAGTTGTAAAGGTTGGTGGTAGTAGAAAGAATTATCAAGTAGTCTCCCTCTCGTGGTGCAGTGTCGCTCTCGTGATGCAGTGTCGCTCTCGTGGTGCAGTGTGTGGAGTGGTGCAGTGCGTGTGTTGCTTCCTTAAGGTGTGTTTTCGAATAAACCTTCAAATAAAACCCTAAAATAAAAAACCTAACTTTTAAACGGTGACATCCTTCAACGGATGTCAACATCCGTTTAATGAAAGAACGGATGTCAACATCCGTTTAAGGAAAAAACGGATGTCGACATCCGTTTTTTCCTTAAACGGATGTTGACATCCATTCTTTCCTTAAACGGATGTTGACATCCGTTCTTTCCATAAACAGATGTTGACATCAGTTCTTTCCTTAAACGGACTCCGAGTTACGTTTTTAATTTTAGGATTTATTTTATTAGTTTATTCTTTATTTTGGAAATATTTTAATAATTTAATTTAAATGTTTTGATTTATTATTTTTTAATATATTTTTAATGTATTTTAATAATGTAAGGAAAATGAAGAAGAAAGAATCGTATGAGGAGAAGTGAAACGGAGAAGACAAATGGAGTTGTAAAGTAAAACAGAAGACAAATTGTTAAACGAAATTGAGAGATGGAAAGATTGAGTGCAGGGAGTAAAGTAGGAGAACTAGGTTTGGAATAAATTAAAATAATAAAAAAAAAAAAATTTAATTTAAGGATATAATTGGAATTAAAAAAAATTGGGGAGGTGGAGGGAGAAAGGTGTGGTGGTGGAGGGAGCACCACCCAAATTATTATTGGATTGATTCTTCGTATTACGAGAAGATCGGTGATATTTGTGAAGATTTTATAAGATTTTTTTAATGATTATGTAGTATTTATATTCAAATTGATATATTGTTTTATATAAATATAAATAATTATATTGATTTAACTAAAATATTACATTAATTTAATCAATGTATCTATTTTAATATGAAAAACAAATTAACAAATCTGTTCACCCTCTCAACTTCTAAACCCCATCCTTTAGTTAACTGCATTCAAGTTTTCAAACCCTCGTTTGCAATTGAACTCATCGAGGTTGTTTTGTTAGGGTAAAAACAAAGTGGCACATAAGATGAAAGAAAGAGTTGAACATGAGTTTATATACACATAGATAACTTCGTCAATAAAAAACATTTTAGAGTAATACCAAAAATAAATCCGAGAGAGCTTAACCAAAACGGACAATATTTTATACATATAGAGATATGTGTATATTGAACCTCCACAATAGTAGTATCAGAACCCATGGCTTCATCATCTTCAAATCACGTCTTTCTCATTCAGGGTTCGCTCAAGCAGAACATGTGATCCATTACCACGAAATGAACTCTCTTTACGAATCTAGATGATGATCATTGTTTTTCACAAATTGTGCTGAAGTTTTGAAGCAATCCCTTTAGTGAAAAACTGATTTGGAAATTATCAAACCCTGATTTTCGTATTCAGACGTGCATGTTCATTTTCCTTTGGAAAATTTATCTCTGCATTCATACATGTACATTGATGGGCAAATTGCATTGCAAAATATATTTGGATAAAATGTGAGCTCTATGACAGCTTTGATCAAGTGAAAATTATGCATCAAGGTTTAGAATTTTGTGGTGACTGCAAAATGACTCATGGAAAAGGCAAAGGCTTGCTGCTGCTGGAAAAGGCAAAGCTGTAGCGACCTTGAAAAGCAATTGTTTTTTAATACAAATATTTATTCATTATAAAATAATTATTTATTCTTTAACTATTTTTCAAATTTAAATAATTTTTTACAGTATTTTTTACACAATATTACTTAAAATATTTTTTATTTTAATAACTAAAATTTATTTTATCTGTAACTATATATACTTTTTTGTTTATATAATTTTATTCTTTTAATTACTAATTTTGAAAATTTATTATTTATAGATATTTAAAAAATGCTTACATACTTATGCTAGCTCTGAATAAAAGATTTAATAAATTGTTTATATCAGGAACTAGTTTAAAATCCAAGTGTAGACACGCTTTTTCATATATATATATATATATATATATATATATATATTAGTGTATTAAATTAAAAAATACTTAGATTATATTTACATTATTAATAAAGTATTTTTAAAATATTTATTACTCCACATATTTCAAAAGTATGCCCCAGAAGGCATAGAATATTCTGTACACTTGTAATATGTATGGATAGAAATATTTTGTACACTTGGAATATGTATGGCATCTCAGTTCTGAACAAATTCTTGGAAAATTTGATTCTCACAAGTTCAGTGAGAGACTCAACTCTAATAAATGTGAGGTAATTATTGGGGCTTATTTTCTTCATATTGGGGCTTAATTTCTTCATATTGGGGCTTATGTAGAGCTGTTTTAATACAAATAATTATTTATTATAAAAGAATTATTTTAAAATGAAGTTTTTATATTGATTGAAGATAAGTTTAATTTAAGATATGAGTGAGTGTAAACTTCGATTTTATAAAATTAAATTAAACTTAAAATTTTCTTTTTTTAACTGTTGTAAAATAATTCTATATATTGTGATTTAAATTTTGAAACATTCTCTTAATTTTCTTTCATTTTGACACCAACATTTTCGTATAATCATCTTGTTTCCATGTACAACACTTAAATTGAATTTATTTCTTTTGACATCTGATATAATGCGACTTGATAGACACTCTTTTGGAGGCATGATCGAAACAGTTAAAATGCAGAAAATACGATATATTACAGAAGTGATAGGTTCTCCAACATGTTCATCTTGAAGTGGTCCTCATGTCAGCACAACCTTAAGAATATTGGACCCAGTTGAATTGATCAATCTGACAAGCAATCACCATCCTTGACTAAGGCCTCTAAGACAATACCATGTGATCTCTTTTGAACCCTTGTTTCTTTGTATCCCACCTTAACACATCAAATGGCCCATCCACACCTTCATTATAACAACAAATAGTACCCACCAAACCTTACTTCATCTATATATATATATACTAACCACTTCATCACAACAACACAACCCAATTTCTCTCCCAAGAATTACGATATACTTTTCTCTACAAGTTTTCTATCATCGTTCTTACTTCGGAGTTTGAATCAAAAAGACATCATGGGTTTCCGTTTACCTGGTATTAAACGAGCATCCAAGGGAGCTGAAATCCCAAAAGGTTTTTTTGCAGTCTATGTTGGAGATAACAAAAGGCGGTTTGTGATTCCTATATCATTCTTGAACCAGCCTACTTTTCAGGATCTACTGAGTCAATCAGAAGAAGAATTTGGATATTCTCATCCAACGGGTGGTCTCACAATTCCTTGTACGGAGGATGTGTTCCTGAATGTCACTTCTAGCTTCAATGGGCTATAGTTCATGCTAAAGGAGACTTACTAGAGTAGATGAGAGAAAAATTGTACAGGAGGATTTTTCATTTTTGTTTTCTTTACCTCTTCCACTAAGAGTGGAAAGATTTTAACCAGAAAGTAATGAAAAGAGATGGTTATCATATTTTTGCTTCTGTTAGATCTCATTCAATTTAAATATTTTAAGTACTTTTATATTGTATATTCAATTTAAATCTTATACGCGTATAAACTTGCTTATAATTTGAGAGCATAAAGATACTGACAATACCTGACCTAATATAGTGGTTATATTGGCAGTGTCATATTGTCCACGAGCAAAACTGAGAACCCTAATTTATCTGAGACAGCCTTAGCCACTGGGTAGACTTTTCTATCATCTTTCGTCCGTTGTTTACTCTGCACCATAAAAAAAATATCCTCTTAAATTTGTGGTTCTTCTCATTCTATCTGCACCTAAAATTCAGCCTCAATCAATAACATCATAGTGATGCTTCTGGGCAAACAAGTGATATAGTAGTTTATGTTGATCACAATAATAAAGTATATTTCCATAGGATGAAATCAAGTGCTCATTCAGATTAGCCCGTTCATCAACCGTATGATTATCTTATAAATATGATACACTGCAGAAATTGACTGTCATTTCTTCATCTGGACCTCAAAATTGAAGTTAGCTGTGTTAGGAAAAACCATCGGGTCTTTCATAGTCGTTCATGAATTAAATTGCTATTAGCTAATCAATTCTTTCATGCAAAAACAAATGAAACAACCATTATCAGTACAAGTTATTACATATTATTGAGATTAAAATTAATAGAAAATTAAAGTACAGTTGTTGCCAGACTTTCATGAAAAGACTAGTTTTATTAAGGACAGTAGTGTATATTTAAGCCTTGTGGTTCCAATCATGTACCATTCTGCTTTGATTTTATGTACATAAAATTTGCATGTCAAACAAACAGTGATTGAGCTCTGGATAAAGATTCCATGCTGGATCCTAATAATTATGATCCATTCTTATCAACTACCGTAGAACGCGTCACCAAGAGAGGTTTTATCAGCAATCTATATCTTAGAATTGAGTTGCATTGTCAGTATGAAGAAAACACGTGACATGTCTGCTGCATGTCTACAAAGACAGTAAAATTGAACAAACGTTAGACCTAAACATATTTTATTTAACGTTGGTTGGAGTCCTGTATAAGCCATTGATTCTGAAGTTGTGGTTTTCACTCTTAATGAACTTGTTCATAATTCATAGAGGCATGTGAGACATCACCATTTGATCTCTCATCTCATGGACCCCATCTTTTTATCATTTCTCCAGGACACAAATTTGAAGAAAACCTAAAATGTATAAATATATTGTCTTTCTTCACAACCAACTCAACTCATTTGCAAACTCACCGCAAAACTTAGCTACATTCTTGTAGTATTTGTGAATTTTAGCTTGCTCTTTGAGACATTTGAAATGGGTTTCCGTTTCCCTGCAATTAGAAGGGCTTCATTTACTGGTAGCCAATCATCTTCAAAAGCTGTAAACATGGCAAAGGGGTATTTTGCAGTGTATGTAGGAGAGAGAATGAAACGGTTTGTGATCCCCATGTCATACTTGAACCAACCTTCATTTCAAGACTTGCTGAGTCAAGCAGAGGAAGAATTTGGATACAATAATCCGATGGGTGGTCTTACAATTCCTTGCACAGAAGATGTTTTTTTGCATGTTATATCTAGCTTGAATGGGCTCTAAAGCTCAAAGTATAGAGAGGACTGACACAGATTAGTGAGATTGTGTACAGCAGGCTTCTTTTAAGACTTGTAAAGAATTTGTTTCATTCTCTTCTTAGGAAATTGTTGCAAAAATTGTTTATTAGAATGAAAAATTCAAGAACATATGTTTCTTACATGATTTTCTCTTTCAGAAGCACAAAACCTTATTAAGTTACAATGTGTTGCATATACAGTGTTAGAAAACCGTTTTAACTGCAGAACAAGTCTTCTAACAAAGCTGGCAGAAACTAATAGCAGATATTTAGGTGCTTAAGTGCAAATAACTGGACAGCTACCGGGGAATAAAACTTACGTGAAAATTTTTAACACGTCTTTACCTGAACATATTGAAGTCAAAATGGACAAAGGGTATAATAATTGATCCAACCATAGAATAATGTCCTAGTGAACAATAAATGTTATTTGTGAAGCTTTGAAAGAGCTGACAGTGAAAAAGATACTCACAAGGACTTCCTGTTCACTTCACACGGTTTGTCGCCTCAAAATAGTAGTGAGAAAGCACATTCTATATATTTTGAATTGAAAAGAGTGGTCTTAGAATATGAAACCAGCAGTGACCAATGAGTTAAGGTATTCCATCAGCCAGCTAGCATTCCTTGAATCATCATAAATACCCTTGTGTTCAAATGACAAAATGCATTTACTACTAGCAAAGTGTGACTGGACAAATAAGCAAATTCCCTTTCATTTAGAGACATAATATGGACATGGAATTAACTAGTCAAAACAGATAGTGAACAAATCAACTAATAGAGTCAGGTTTACGATACTTTGTCCAATTAGGACTAGTTTTCTGCTTTAAATTTCTATGGTCCAGTGAGAAATAATGTAAGATAGAAAGCAAAATATACAATATTTATGTAATAGAGCACTAAAATATACCATTGTAGAATTGAAAATCCATTGAATAGAAATCAGTGAAATAAAAGAATAGTTCGAAGAGTTGGGTTGGGTAGCCATCTCACATGAACTTGTCGATAGAAAGTATAGATAGTTGTGAGAAAAAAACGTGGTCTGATTCTGAATAGAGCCATTTCACAATATTTAAGCAAAGCAATGGCTGCCTTCGGTTTCAAGCTCTCCTAGCAGCCACTCAACATTCAAACATTTAATACTACCAAGAGTGGACTCGACAAAAGGAACAGCACACTAAACCTTTAGTGTGCAGACATGTTTCCAGAATTATGGCCTTTCTTAAGCAATATTATTCATAATCAATGTCAGATCTACAACCCATTGTATATCATAGAGGTTACCAAAATTTCTTCAAATAAATCTCTAGTTCTTAATTTATTGCTTAATTAACGAATGATTAACTAAGACCATGTATTCAAAGGTTTCCATCGTGCTCGATGAAGTAAGTACAAGAAGAGCAATTGAGCTTATATACTCAAAGATTCAAACATATCTTTTCGAGAGGTTCTAAGTCAGCATTGCACAACCCTTGAATTGTCATGATTATAGGGGCTTACTACATGGAATTGCTTCATATTTTTTTCATAGTAATATAAGAAAAGATGTGCCAAATTTATAAAGAGACATATCTTAGGTGATATAGGTGCTAGTTTAGGACTGTGCCATTTAAAGAGGTTCCCTCCTATATGAAACATGTGAAACACCCAATTTCAGGATTCTTCATAGGCAATACACCTCGAAAGGAGTAGCGTTTATTGTAATATCTCAAGTCGACCATCACAAAAACCTTCAAGATCGACAATCTAATTTAAGAGTCTCTCACTAAGAATTGTCAAGTAATCCATTTAGCTCAATCCAACCATCATCTTGCAAGATAACAGAAGCTCCCAAAGGATATCTTGCAGTGTATGTTGGAGAGAAAACGAATAGATTCCTGTATCTTTCTTGAATGAGCGCCTTCATTTTAATAATTGCTTAGTCATGCTGAGGAGGAATTTGGTTTCTATCATCCTATGGGTGGTTATTAAATAAGATAACAAATTTATTTATTTTTATTTGGTTACTAGTTTTCTTTTCTCTGATTCTATACATACCCTCTAATAAGTACTCTCCCTCTTGTTATTAATAATAATATTATTATTATTATTATTATAACTATAATAGTAGATGATATAATAATAATCATTAATGTGAATTGCGTGTTTTGTGAAAAAATTATTCAACTAATAAGTTGAATAGTACTGTGCGAGCTCGAAGACACACAAACTTCATGCCAAATATAGAGATGTAAATAGATAATTTGAATTTATAGTATATAAATTTTTTGAATGGAGTGAACATGTTTTCATTTTGATATATTAAAACTAAATTATATATGGTTGAGAGCACTAAGATTTAATTTTATTAGGTGTTAAATGATGCGATATTTTGAGTAAAATTATTATGCAGCTTGAGTATAGAAAAAAAATAGTAAATGAATAAAAAAATTAGAGTGGTAGTTTTAGAAGGAAATTATTTTAAGAGAAAAATATGACAACAATATGCATTAAATTTGATTATCATATTTTATTTTTAGAATTTCTTTATACAGTAAATCATCTCAAAAAAACAAACCCTAATTACATCAACAACTAACCTGTTTTATTTCTATAGAACACTAACACATGCTTCCCTACTAACTTTGGAAATATATGAATCTAATATCTTTTCTAGAAACCCAAAGACAAGTGAAGAATTTACTAGAACTTGCAGAAAGTTGATGAGCATGTCCTTATTTTTAGGACTAGGTGTATAATACCCAAACTTTTTTAGAAACTCCAACCAATGAATGTTCAACTATCATCAAAGTGTGATGAAAGGGGTTTAGTAATAAACAACGTTCTCAAATTTTAGCACTGAACTATTAGAGTTGAGTATCTCCGTTGCACTTTCCATGCCATATAATCCCACCAAATTGTTTTGAACTTGAGAAGAAGCATGAAAACATAAAGATATTACATGAATATATGTTATACAAGTTTTCAAAAGTTAAATTCTCAAATTCTAATATGAATATCATTAAATATTGAAAATATAAAATTAAACAGTTTTAGAACCTTAGACTGAGCATTCATTGCAGACACAATTAGCTCAAGCTCAATATGAAAAATCAGAAAACAAAGTGATGATAATGTTTGACCTGAGCTTATGAAATCACCTTTATACAAGAGTTTGGGTGATGATGAAGACTTGAAACTAAAATCACAAGGACTCCCCATGCCCTTCACATGGACTTGTCGTCAAAATATAGCTAGTTGTCAGAAAGCAGAAGCTTCTGATTTTGAATCAGCCTTCATCAGTAGTCTTTATTTCAAGTTCCTAGCAGCCATAGTCAATATTCAAACATTAACTACTTCAAAGCCACAACAGTAATCACGCTTCACAAGTTTCCATAATTATAGCATTTCATTTCTATACAAAACCATATAATGTGTAGAGAGTAGGTAACAGCATAGTCAAATGGAACTTTCCCGTAAATGTTGAATTAAGTAAATAGTATTCATTAGAAATGTCATTCTCCTTGATTTACAATCTCAACATTTATTTATTTAACATTTTATATATGGAATATTGTGTGGTCTATATTTCAGAGACAGTAAAATAAGTATCTGAAGTGCTAGCCATACATATTACAAGTGTACAAAATATTTTATGCCTTCAGTAACATACTTTTTGAAACATGTGAAGAACGCCATTACATGTCTCTTTCCTATGCTTACTTTCTAAGAAGTGGACATATTTTCTCATATCTCATGTCATCTGTCACGAAATTTTTCATCCCAACACCTTGTTATGATGAACATTGTCTCCCACTGAACACGTTTATCATAATTCATTCACCACCAATTACACGGTAAATATAGGATTTCCTACACCTATATATACCCTTCATTTGATTGACAAACAGCACAGATCATTCTAATGCTGAAGCATAAGAAATAAGCATAATACTATACTTGTTTGATATCATTCTGCACATCAGTGAGCTCAGAAACAGAAAACAATGGGTTTTCGCTTACCAGGTATAAGACGATCATCATTTAGTGGAAGCCAAACATTCTCTTGCAAGGATGCAGAAGTCCCAAAAGGGTATCTTGCTGTGTATGTTGGAGAGAAAATGAAGAGGTTCTTGATACCAGTGTTGTTCTTGAACGAGCCTTTATTTCAAGAATTGCTCAGACAAGCTGAAGAGAAGTTTGGTTTTTGCCATCCCATGGGTGGTCTCACCATTCCCTGCGAAGAGGCTGTGTTCTTAAGCATAGCCTCTCGTTTGAACCAGCAATAATACATGCAACAAAATATCCTTATCCCGAAATAGACTAATTGATACAACCTTTTGCATTAAGGTTTTTGTTTTTTCAGTTAGTTGTTTCCTCTGTATGAAACTTATGAAACTATGTCTGTGAAGTATATATATATATATATATATATATATATATATATATATATATATATATATATATATATATATATATTTTT